ACAAGGGAAGAGTACTACTGACTCATGACTCAAGCGAGAGTTATGGCTACAAAGAGCTCACCAAGATCATCATCTTCCTGGCCCACAACCTCATGGGTCTGAAACAGGAGGTAAATGATCTCAAGCAACAGATCACGTCGGTATCCCACAAGGACCCCAGCAGAATTGAGTTACATGAGGAAATCAGTAGACTTCAAAAGGCTCTGACAGCTGCTGAACAGCGAGAGCAACTGGAAAAGGCAGCCAGAAAGGACCTGAAAAGGAAACTTTCCCATACAAAAGTACTATTGAACAGCTAATTCTGAGCTCTTAGACAAAGTTGCCAGAATTGAGAATCCCTGCAGCAGTGCATGATGTGACCCCCAGAGATCATGACAAGCTAGCCAGAAACATCCCAACATTAACATACTATGGTGAAGAACGGTGGCGTCGTTTTAAACATTATTTGCAAGCAGACTCAGTATCAGACTTGTGTGTTTGTCCCATGGGTTTTTATTAACTTCTTATACATGCGCGTACCAGTTTCTGATCAAAATCAGATAAAACTATAGCTTGAATGCACTGTCCTACAAACAGTACAGAAGTTCTTCAATGCTATAATGCATGTTCAAATCGTACGATAACAAACTAACCTGATATTAGCGAAGAAATCCTAATTTCAGTTGTTAACAGAACACAAATCTTCTCTGAGGAAAGAATCTCAGATTAGCATTTGCCACTTAAATGGTACCAGAATAAATCAGTCTGATCTTGGGCGAAGAAATCCCCACTTTCAGCACTGTTGTAGGTGATCTGAGCGATGCTCCTCATTTCACTGATTTAAGGCCTTATTATGTGTTACGTATCATTGTATTCATATTGATCCGCTCATGTGAAACATTTACGTCAAATTAATGGTGTTATTCTAGCATAGCTAACTATGAATTCACCATTGCCTGTGAAGTGAACGTGCTGTTTTGATTTGTGAATGAGTTGCATGTGATGTCATGATGGAGCACACCTCATCTGACCACATGTGAGTTTCCTATGCATGCTCACAGCACAGATCAATCACTGCTCCGCTTAGGCTGTGATGTGAACTTGCATTGGTCTCCTAGCAACACATGACCCCGGAAGTGTGAGCAGACTCTTCCGGTTAATCTGACAACAGCACCCACTTCACAGACCTGTGTGTAAACAAAGAACTGCGTGTAACCAACGCTAACTCTTAAGCTAAGCCCTTTACCTCAACTGCTAGCTGTTAGCATCCGACTAACACTTAGATAGGTGTCTAAAGTGTAACTTTCTAACCACTACTCTCTCTCTCTCTCTCTCTCTCTCTCTCTATCCCCGTCACTCCTGGTGTCACTTCCTGTTGATGCCATCACCTCCTCTTTGGATTCAGTTCGGCCGGTCCCTCCCCACATACTTTGGTTTTTACTTGTGTTATTGTTTATTTTTGTTTTGACTTTATTCTACCTCTCTTTAATTTTATTGCATTTATTTACATTTGTTTAGCACAAATGTACCAATTCAGCTAAATTGATTTTTATTAAATTTGAGATTTAATTAAATCAAAAAAAAATTATTTATTTTATTTATTTATTTATTTTTTTATATTTACTTTCCCTTTTAATTTCCTACAGCTATTAGGACCCCTTTTGTTTGTTTTGTTTTACTTTTACCTTACTTTAGTTATTTTACCATCACCATCTTCGCTTTTTGTATAGGATTACAGTAGTTCTAGCAACTGTTGTTTCCTTAATGAGTTAAACAGGTTATTAGTAGCCTAATCCCTGTTTCCTCTCTACTTCTCCTCACTCCTCAGTGCCAGACCTAATACATTGAAGGGCAGCTACTGTTCAACACAATGTAAGCCAAGATAGAACTAGGAACAATTCCCATTGTTTCTTTTTCTTTTCTTTTTTTGACGAGGTATTTGGTGGGTCCCTGCTAGTTTAGCTAACAGTCTAACCCTAGGTTTATGAAGTCTATTGCAGCATCACCCACAAGTGACACCTGCTTAGCCATATCTCTTAGAAAAAAAACTAAAATAGGAAAAAATCTTCCTTCTTCCTTTTTTTTGTTTGATTTCATCTTATTTTATTTCAGTTTTGTCATAGTGACCAAACCCGTGAACCATCAGTGCTTTGAGTAATAGTTTGACCACATGTATAGCCCGGTCATCAGCTGACCCCTGCTTACAGCCCCCTCAACAAAGTTACTCAAACTCTCTCTTTGTGTTCACGAACACAAAAACATAGCACCCTACCTCACTAGCTGCCTCTCACCAGCTATTCATACCTTACATGGCCTACACAGCCGTTCCCCATAGAGATAGTTTAACACCTCTGGACGTACTTGCATTTGTCTTGCCCCTTTCTCTCTCTGGTGTTCCCACAAGTGTGCCAGTATGTCGCAGACATTCCACAGACATCCAGCCCTGCCAGCTCACCAGGACCACCTGGAAACTTAGCAGAGCACTGTAATGGACATCCTTCAGCTCAAAGCAGCCAACGACCTGCAATGGCAAAGAAAGGAACAGCGAGACTGCGACACAAGTGAACACCTGACACCCAGCCTGAACCACCAGGACCTGACCAGCATCATCCTCTCCTCGGCCCACACCCTCAAGGGCCTCAGACAGGAGGTAAATGAGCTGAAACTGCAAGTCACAGAATTCTGCAGAGAACTGACACCTGCTCAACGAGAGAAAGCACAGAACAGATGCAAAGAACCTCACAGAATGGTGCGACAGAAGGAAACCACCAATCTTCAGGAGGCTCTAACAGCTGCTGGACACCAAGCGCCGCTGGAAAAAGCCATCAGACAGGACTTGGAAAGAGAACTGTTTCACACAAAGTCACTGTTAAAACAGCATATGTGGAACTAACTGAGAGAGACACCAGATCTAAGGCCTTACAAGGCCAGCTGCATGCAGCCAGAGCTGAGGTCCAAACCCTGACTCAGCAATTAAAGAGGAGCTTGACATGGTTCAGAAAGAATTTAAACAGTCCTACCGACTGCGCATAGACTCAAGCAAAAGACAGCCTGCTAAACATCACATCACCAGCAGTGCAAGCCCTCCACGCCTGTGCACAGCTACGAAAGGGGGGAAAGGGAGCCAAAGCCTTCTGCTTGACACTTCACAAGTCAGCTCCCTGAAAACCCTGAAAACCTCTGCAGCTGCAGAAGAAAAAAAAAAAAGTTTAATCCAGGCGAACCGAAACAACGCATGTGAATGCCACCTGCAAGCAGCCCGAGGTGAATTCAATGTCACAAATGAACTGGAATATGCTTGCAGACCACAAGGTGAACAGACAGGGAAAACACGAAACAGAACTTCCCCTGGCCAGCAGGCCCACCACCTCAGCCAAGAGTCCGAACCTGCGAGGGGGGGCGAGAGCCCACTGTTCACACGTCACCAACCAGCAGCCACAAGGGGGTGGGGCAGGGACCTTTCCAGAGGATCACTGCAGACACACACACCGTGTGACCCCACAGACCCCAACGAGCTGGCCAGAGACAACACATCTGGCAACCTAAATACTGCAGAGACCCTGAGGACATCAAAGGAACTGATCCTGCAGCCTCACCAGCAGCTTAAACAAGCCATCATAAAGGAATTCTCAGACCCAGAGTCTGAACATGGACTGATCGCTGCTGATTCTGAACTTCACAACTCAGAATCCAAAGCGGGCACCAGAAGGCACCCAGCATTGCCACAATGCAAAACCCTTCTACAGAAAGCCCCTAGCCAGAAGAGGACAGAGCCATCACCATGGCAACAGACCCAGGTTCCAGACCAACCACTGGGAAAAGCAATGGAAAAAAGGCATCCTCATCCTGCAAACACCACGGTATGTCCAACAGCAGTCCACCACAACATCCTCCTCCACACCCTTCACACAGGTGCCGAACGGAGGCTACACAAGGACAGCTGGACACGCCTACTTCTGGGTTACAGGAGCTGCTGACACTCGCAAAAGAGCTCCTTGAACAAAACTCAACTAAGGAGTACTGAGAAGGACAAACCTCTGACTCCTTGCCTGCTGCAACACAGCATCAGGCCCCTCCAAGGGAGGAGCATCCCTTGAAACCGGTCGACACCCCAGAAGCAGCCAGACAACGTTGGATGGAGCAACGGGCCCACATGCCCAACTGCGAACCCTCTACCAACACAACTCAGGCAAGCTCAAGTCGGTGCCGCCACAAGAGCCAAGCGACACCGCAAACATCAGATTTCTAGTGACGTTTGAGCAAAACAGAGGGCTAACAACCACCTGCTGCTCTCCTGCCATCATCACTAGGATGACAGGTGACACAGCCTCGACACCTGCTGCATAAGCTCGAGGACCCACACCTTGCTACAGCCTACATCACCACTTGCATTGGTCTCCTAGCAACACGTGACCCCGGAAGTGTGAGCAGACTCTTCCGGGTTAATCTGATAACAGCACCCACTTCACAGAACTTTGTGTAATACAAACTGCATGTAGCCAAAGCTAGCTCTCCAGCAACCCTAAACGCATACAAGTTAAAGCCCTCTACATCAACTGATAGCTGTTAGCACTCAGCCAATACTTAGACCCGTTTAAGTGTAGAGTGTAACATTTAAACCAAAGACTACAGACCTTGGCACCTTTTAGACTAAGGGACATTGATTTTGAACTAGTGATGGGAGAGACAAAGCTTCTCAAGGCTTTGAATCAAATGAATCAATTGTGCCACAAATGATTCACTGTTTCGAAGCGCTCGGTGCTGATAACCCCTGCTGGTCAGAACAGTGTAAGTGCAGTGAAAACTCAACTCAACGAAACACCTTACCAAACCAATAGCCAATGTGTTATTTAAGGTGTAATCAATTAAAGGCAATCAACGATCCTTTAGCAACTGATGTTATACAGGTTATTAGTAGCCTAATCCCTGTTTCCTCTCTACTTCTCCTCACTCCTCAGTGCCAGGCCTAGTACACTGAAGTGCAGTTACTGTTCAACACAATGTAGGCCCAGATAGAACTAAGAACACTTCCCATTGTTTCTTTTTCTTTTTGACCTCGAGGTATTTGGTGTGTCCCTGCTAGCTTAGCTAACAGTCTAACCCTAGGCTTATTAGTCTATTTCAGCATCACCCACAACTGACAGCTGCTTAGCCATGTCTCCTAACAAAAACTAAATAGGTAAAATCCTCCTTCTTCCTTTTCCTTTTTGATTTCATCTTATTATTTTATTTCAGTTTTGTTCATAGTGACCAAACCTGTGAACCATCAGTGCTTTGAGTAATAGTTTGACCACACGTATAGCCCGGTCATCAGCTGACCTCTGCTTACAGCCCCCTCAACAAAGTTACTCAAACTCTCTCTTTGTGTTCACGAACACAAAAACATAGCACCCTACCTCACTAGCTGCCCCTCACCAGCTATACCTTACACGGCCTACACAGCTGTTCCCCATGCAGATAGCTTAACACCTTTGTACGTACGGGTTAATCTGATAACAGCACCCACTTCACAGACCTTTGTGTAAACAAACAACTGCATGTAGCCAAAGCTAGCTCTCCAGCAGCCCTAAACGCATACAAGTTAAAGCCCTCTACATCAACTGATAGCTGTTAGCACTCAGCCAATACTTAGACCCGTTTAAGTGTAGAGTGTAACATTTAAACCAAAGACTACAGACCTTGGCACCTTTTAGACTAAGGGACATTGATTTTGAACTAGTGATGGGAGAGACAAAGCTTCTCAAGGCTTTGAATCAAATGAATCAATTGTGCCACAAATGATTCACTGATTCGAAGCGCTCGGTGCTGATAACCCCTGCTGGTCAGAACAGTGTAAGTGCAGTGAAAACTCAACTCAACTAAACACCTTACCAAACCAACAGCCAATGTGTTATTTACAGTGTAATCAATTAAAGGCAATCAACGATCCCTAATACCCTTAAATATTAAGGTTTTTTTAAATACGTTATATTTCAGTAAACTTAAAGACCAATAGGAGACTTGTAAATATGCCTCCTCCCTATATTAAATGCGTCACTAAATGTGTATGAATTTATAAAATGGATACGAGATCACATACAAATCATAGACACTGGTTCATGAGACCTAGCATCGAACCAACCTTACACGGCCTACACAGCTGTTCCCCATGCAGATAGCTTAACACCTTTGTACGTACATGCATTTGCCTTGTGTCTCTCTCTCTCTGGTGTTCCCACGAGTGTGCCAGTATGTCGCAGACATCCCACAGACATCCAGACCAGCCAGCTCACCAGGACCACCTGGAAACCCAGCAGGCAACTGTGATTGACATCCTTCAGCCCAAAGCAGCCAACGACCTGCAACAGCAGAGAAAGGAACTGCGACACAAGTTGACACCTGACACCCAGCCTGAACCACCAGGATCTGACCAACATCATCCTCTCCTTGGCCCACACCCTCAAGGGCCCCAGACAGGAGGTAAATGAACTGAACCTGCAAGTCACAGAGTTCTACAGAGAACTGACACCTGCTCAACAAAAGAAAGCACAGAACAGATGCAAGGAACCTTACATAATGGTGCAACAGAAGGAAATCACCAGTCTTCAGGAGGCGCTAACAGCTGCTGGACACCAAGCGCAGCTGGAAAAAGCCATCAGACAGGACTTGGAAAGAGAACTGTTTCACACAAAATCACTGTTAAAAACAGCGTATGTGGAACTTAATGAGCGAGAGACCAGAGCTAAGGCCTTAGAAGGCCATCTGCATGCAGCCAGAGCTGAAATCCAAACCCTGACTCAGCAATTCTGCAACATTAAAGAGGAGCTTGACATGGTTCAGAAAGAATTGAAACAGTCCTACCGACTGCGCATAGACTCAAGTGCGCATGCACTCACGTAAAAGACATCACACCGCCAGCAGTGCAAGCCCCCTCACCCCTGTACACAGCTACGAAGGGTGGGAGCCAAAGCCTTCTGCTTGGCACTTCACAAGTCAGCTCCCTGAAAACCTCTGCAGCTGCAGAAGGAAAAAGTTTAATTCAGGCGAACCGAAACAACACCTGTGAATGCTACCTGCAAGCAGCCCGAGCTGAAATACAAGTCGCTGGCTCAGCAACGAGACAACTCCAAACACCAAATGGGGTAAAGTCAAACGAAGCCAAGGTGAATTCAATGTCACAAATGAACTGAAATATGCTTGCAGACCACAAGGTGAACAGACAGGGAAAACACGACACAGAACTTCCCCTGGCAAGCAGGCCCAGACCCCCGGACTGATCGCTGCCCTAGACACCAAACAGGGCCGACATGAAACTCCCCAAAGCTCGCAATTACCCTGGGACACCAGCTTCAAGAGCCTTTTCCTCTGAAACCTCCATCCTATTGTAAGTCACCATTTAGGCATTATGGCCTGCCGCACAATGCCTAATCAACAGCTGCGTAACCTGACACAGAAGGCCTTTAACAAGCACAAGGCCTCCACTAAAGGTGTTTGTCAGACCCCACTGATTCTGAACTTCACAACTCAGAATCCAAAGCGGGCACCAGAAGGCACCCAGCATTGCCACAATGCAAAACCCTTCTACAGAAAGCCCCTAGCCAGAAGAGGACAGAGCCATCACCATGGCAACAGACCCAGGTTCCAGACCAACCACTGGGACAAGCCATGGAAAAGGGCATCCTCATCCTGCAAACACCACGGTATGTCCAACAGCAGTCCACCACAACATCCTCCTCCACACCCTTCACACAGGTGCCGAACGGAGGCTACGCAAGGACAGCTGAACACGCCTACATCTGAGTTACAGGAGCTGCTGACACTAGCAAAAGAGCTCCTTGAACAAAACTCAACTGAGGAGTACTGAGAAGGAAAAACTTCTGACTCCTTGCCTGACGCAACACAGCATCCGACCCCTCCAAGGGAGGAGCATCCCTTAAAACCAGTCTACACCCCAGAAGCAGCCAGACAACGTTGGATGGAGCAACGGGCCCACATGCCCAACAGCGAAACCTCTACCAACACAACTCAGGCAAGCTCAAGTCGGTGCCGCCACAAGAGCCAAGCGATGCTGCAAACATCAGATTTCTAGTGACGTTCGAGCAAAACAGAGGGCTAACAACCACCTTCTGCCCTCCTGCCATCATCACTAGGTCAGTCTGAAACTCTCTTCACACTACAAAATCTCCATAACAATTCCCTGCGACCCCCGGAAACACCTGCACTCTCACCAGTGAGAGTCCAACCCAGCTGTTCCAAAACGCAGGTACCACGGATAGCCTACTAGCAAACGACACCCAAAATAGCCATCTTACCCAGACCAACTCACTTCAGGATGACAGGTGATACAGCCTTGACACCTTGCTACAGCATCCACCACGGCACCACAACCACTCCTGGAGGCAACCAACAGCCAAAGAGCCATCACTGTCTCCCAGCCGTGAGTGTCAGGTGTGTATCTGATTGTTCTGCACCTTTGACATCGCTCGCTGTTGTCTATTGGATGGACAACAACGTTCGAAAGGGACATTCTTCTCGCCTTCGGGTCGATCGCTGCAAACCAATCTCGGGAACGGACGCACCCAAAGATGCGTTTCTGCGTCAACATCTTGAACGGTAGCCGATGAAGGGCCCGGTTCAAAACTCGCAGGTCCACGATTGGTCGTAACCCACCGCCTTTCTTGGGTACTAGGTTCAAAAAACTGTCGTCCATAAAATGCGTTGCACAAATTCGAACATCTGGGTTGTGCTGTTCTGTTGTAAATAAATCTTAACCAATGATTCCTAATTGCATCTACTTCCGGAAGGCCAAATAAAGTGCTTTAGTAAATAATGAGTCCCTTTTATTTGTGGGTGAACTACTTGCTTGAAAAAGCTAGTTATGTTCTATTGCATACAGTAGATACTATCAGTAGGGTCAGAGTTACATTTGGTGTGAAAGTACGGAAATAATTCACACCTCTGGCCTAGATATTCAGGGTTACAGAGAGGATGAATTACTGGTTGTGTGTGCTGTTCCACACTGGCCCTTATTTTTCTTCCATGCCAGCAATTTTGGGGCCAGACACCTATTTTACAAACATAGAGCTCCGGATACACACTGCTCTCGCCCACCTGCAGCTCCCTGCATTTGGAGCATGTCTGTGAACACGCCGGCCGTATTATATTTATACCACTGGATTTGGTTCAATCATTGGTCTAGTCAGGCTGCAAAGCACACATACATATATACACACAGATAAGGGTGGATTGAGACTTTGGGACACATTTTTGACACATTTACCTTGACAAATATATTTAACACCTTTTTAATGATAGTGATTAAGATTTGTACATGTTTTCAAGGTGTGAGGAAAATGTTATTTTTGTCCACACCATTTGACATTTTTAGAGTCATTTATAAATTTATATTTTTGTTGTAAATAGTATAAACCATTTGTACCATATGGACTGTACCTGAGTTCATTTCTAAGAGTACATTTTTAAGAATTTAAAATTAAAAACAATAAAACGTTATTGTACAAAAAAAATCTTGGATACTGTTATTTGTCATTTATGCAAATGTAAAAAGTAGTTGCTTTGTGCATTTAAGATACATTTCAAAAGTTTTGGGGTCAGAAAGATAAAATTAAAAAATTAACTTTGAACTTTATATTCATCAAACAAAACAGCACAACTGTTTTCAACATTGATAACAATTAATAAAATATCTTAAGCACCAATTAAGCATAATATAATGATTTCTGAAGGACAATAAAACTCGAGTAACAGCTGCTGAAAAAAAGCTTTGCAGGAAAAATGACATTATTACAAATATATTAAAAGAGAAAAAACTATTTTCAATTATAATATTTCACTATATTTTTACTGTTTTACTGTATTTTGATCAAATAAGCCTTGATGTGCATAAGAGACCTTCAAAAACATTAAAAACCCAACAGACCCCAAACTTTTCAACGATAATGTGGATTCCTTTTTCTTGAATTGATCTAAGCAGTCACACATACACATCTAGAGAAAGAGGACATAAAGCAATAGTTCAGCTGTGCTGAAACAAACTGAATAAATCTACACTGGGATGTCATTAGAAAGATAGGATGTTGTCAGTTATACTGACATTGTTGTGCTACTTTGCACTATATAATCGCATATCTCTCTTTGGCTCACTGTGTCTCAAGCTGCTGACAACCACCATCATTTATTGACTGTAAAGTCTCAGCTGACCTCAAGATGCTGACCCTGTCAGAGTGAACCTCTAGAGGTGGACACAGAAGGGAATCCAGTCCCAAACTCTCTTCATTACACTTGACGATCAATCCAGCACTCTGCCGAATTAAAGACAGAGACACAAAGAATGAATGATCCCTGGGGAAGAACTTGATTACTACAGAGTCCACCAGACTACCGCAGCTGGGGGTCCCTCGTCTGCAGAGCTTGATT